CACATACACTGCATATTATTATTAAGACATAAGACCACCAGCTCCTTCAGAAACTGGAGCTTTCTTTGAAAAGCACATGGACTAAGTGAGGTCAAGGGTCAAGCTATGTGTCAGTATGTCAAGTAAGTCAATAGTTGAGTCGATCTGCAGTTGCAAAGCGGTGTTTGTTTTGGACTGAGGCACATTAAAACATTACAAGAGGTAAGATTTTTAGCCTGCGTGCTGGACCTCGTGGGAATAAAGCCCCTAACCTTGGCACTGTTAGTGTCATGATCTTCCCACTGCGCCACACAGAACTGTAATACTGACTTTGAAACTCATCCGAAGTATTATCATATTCAGTACAGTACAGACTTACCAGACTTACGTTTACAAGGTCAAACAGCAGTAATTTGACAATCTCTCTCTCTAAGAAGCTGCTCCACTAACTTTAAATCAAAGTTTTGAAGCGAGACTACAACTAAACAGTGAGCACTGTGTCCACAAGTGGCAATATCAGGATAGTAAGACATCGCCTACATTTCCCAAGATTCTCCTGGGGCATTTGCTTTAAAGCTGCTTCAGTTCCACTTTAATATAAATAACAGTCCAAATGACTCTGTGTAATGTGAAAGGAATCATGCAGTGACAAACTCACAGAGAATTATAAACTGACTGCTGCTCCCTTCAGGTCAATGGAAAATCTTAGCGGCTTTAAGCTCATTGTTTTGCAATTTAAATGCTTTGGTTGACTGTCACTGTTCAGCGACAGTGTAACAGCGATGATGAAGTGCTGATAAACTTGCTGTACTGACTGTCCAGCACCAAACAGCGGGCAGACAAAATTAGCGATTAGCATAGCGGAGCATTTGAGCTGCCAAAGAACCAGACAATGTCCACAGGAGCTGGTGGAGACAAAAATACAGAAATAAATAAATAAATAAAAAAAGTGGGGAATATTTGACTTTTGTCCAGAAACATGACACTGTGCTGAAAAGATGATAATATGTTTGCTAACCGCATCTAGTTTAAAGCTAGCTAACATTAGCTAACATAAGCTACTGGTCATACCGGACCAAATACAGCTGTAGTAGTGAAACCTCTAAGCGTGTTGAATTGAGCAAAGGTGGCTATAATTTATTACTAATGAATTTAATGTTTTTTTTGGCAATTTTTTCTTTCTTTTTCTTTCTTTCTTGCTTTTTTTTGTCTTACAACAGACATTTTAACATGTCACAGTGTGAATAATTAATACATTAAACTTATCTGCTGTGGTTTCAGGGGCCAGGGGCTGGTTTCACAAAGATATTAGTCTTAATTTTGCTCATAGATAAGCCAAAAACATTAGACACCTTACCCCCAGGCTAACTCAGACCAAAGTTACCACGGTTACATCAGTGACACCTGCGCTGACCGGTAGCACCCAACAACAAAAAACAGGAAAACATGGCTCATAATTTGTGGTTTGCTAACATTGTTATGGAGAGAGCAATGAGAGGGGAAAGAGTTTTTAGAGACCAAAATCTGATTTTTCTTTTTATTGTTTTTTCGCTCTTTGCTGAATTTTCCAAGTAAAACGTCCTTGAAACTGTTGAATTCTTTCAAAAGGACAAACATTTTCTGTTGGGGTACACTGAGCGTAAAAAGTCTTAATTTACCCAGAATTCATTGTACTACAATCCGGCTTAAGATAGTCAAAAAATGCTTTGTGCAACAGATGAATTTAAACATCTAACTGAAGATAGTTTAGTTAGATAGTTAGATATATGTAAGACACAGTCTAAGTCTCTTTGTGAGACCGGCTCCTGATGTTGTGGATGCTTGAAGAGAATGGAGCCTCGTTAATGTTATCAGTAACACCTGATCACAACGTCAGGTCAAAATAACTGCCTGTTCCTAAACAGAAAAACAAGCAGACATCTCCGATAAATTGCCAGCACCTCAATAAAAATTTTTTAGAGTGACAGTCCCTTAAGATGGTACTTTATTCAAATATCGTTGAACTAGTTTATATTTTATTCCCCCGGGAGCTCAGAATAAATCCCTTAGCTCAGCTGGACGGGAACATTGATCAAGCTAACCTCAGCATCTGCAGCTTTACTGCAACAACACAAGATTTATTTTCACTCTTGATGCGAAAGGTCTGAAGTGAAATGTGTTGTTAATTCATTATCGCTGTAAACTCATCACACTTAACGAACAAAGGTCAAACTCAAGTCTCAGTCTCATTAAGCAAAGAGTAGATTTTCCTGAAAGGAGAAACAGGTAGCAAAGGGTTAATACTTTATTATTGTTTTTATTTTGTTCACAAGTAGCCATGATACAAGTAATTTCCAATTACTCCAAGGACAAAGTAGAAAAAAAAAAAACAACTTTTATCTGAACAAAATGTAACTTTAGTTTTTCCAATGTTGACGTGTGTGAGGTGATGAAGTGTAGGTTTCTGCTGTGGGCTCCAACTGTGCAGCTTTTCCAGTTTGCTACAAACTATTACTATATTAATCTAGAGAGACTGAACCGAACCAGAACTTGAATGATCTCGAGTCTATTAGATATTTTAGATTAATACCTTGAACGATGAACTAAAGGATCAACAGCGGGTAATTTCCCCCCTCAAATGTGAAACTTAGACCCACCGTGTAATCGAAACACAAATGTAAAGAAAGAAAAAAAGAGTTCAGATATATCCGAGGCCGTGTGCACCGAGAGCCAACGTTCCTGTGAGGAATGTGTGATACGCAGCGGTGAACATGCTCGAGCTTCCTTCTGGCACAAATGCGTCAACAAGTGTGATGCCAAAAGCACAGAACAGACAGAACCTATACAACAAAGTGGACAGACTGTGGAGTCAGAAATCTGAATGACATGCCAGGAGAAAGCACCGTGTGCAAAAAAATAAAAAAAAAACAGACAGGAGGAGAGAAGCCACATGTAGCTTCATAAATATCATTTACACAAACACTAAATGCTCCTCATTGAACAAAGATGCACTGTCATCTTTAAACTTCAGCATCATAAGCAAAGTCTTAGATTTGTAATTTCTTATCCAGTGTTAATGCACATACTATTGCTTAGAAAATACAGAAATATAAATGATCTTTGGTAAATGATACTGCAATGAGATACAACAATCATAACATATTAAAGGTGCTGCTGCTTTAAATGCTAAACAATTAAACAAACTATAGCATCTTTAAAATTTTCCATACGTTTTTCTAGTTTGTCAGTGACGACAAATACATCATGATATTTAAAGCCAAAGTGTAAAGTAAGCAAACCTTGCCATCCTTTTCATACTGTATCTGAGCGCCGGACATGTCAACAGCACCAACAAAACTCGTTGGTACTTCTGAAATAATGCTTTCAAAGTGCAAATTTAAATCTTAAAGCCACATCTTTTGCATTTGGGAAAGACCTTCTTTCACCGTTGAGCTTTTGGTTTTCAGCTGAACACCAGCAGAAGAAATAAAAAGGTTACACTGGGTTAAAATAAACTCAACACATGAAACATACTTAAGAAAAAGAAAAGGACCTTCAAGTAAACGGCTTTATGAAACGTGACGGTAGCTTGTTGTCAACCTACTGTACAGTGCTTAAAGGAATAGCTTCACATTTGGGAAATACGTTTATTTGCTTTCTTACTGAATTAGAGGAGAAGATACCACTCTGTTGCCTGTATGCAGTTAGCTTAGCTTAGCATAAAGACTGGAAACAAGAAGTCTATAATTAACAAGTTGTATCTCGTTTGATTAATCTGTATAAAAGATGTTTTTACTGGTTGCCTGGCAACTTCACAATGACAACAAGACTCCAGTTTATTAGAGATTAATTAGTGAGCTTTAGCGGTGCTGGTGGGCAGATTTTGATAGTTTTGAACAGAGATAGCTGCTATCCAGGCTAACAGTTTCCCCCTGTTTCCAGTCTTTATGCTAAGCTAAGCTAACCGCCAACTGGATACAGCTTCGTGGATTGATACCATTTTCATGTTTGTATGTTAAATATGAAGCTGCTAAAGCCAGACGACGGTTAGCTTAGCTTAGCATGCAGATTGGAAGCAGGGGAAACAGCTAGCCTGGCTAACGGACAGAGATGAGAGTGGTATCGATCTTCATTTTCCCGAATTGTCAAACTATTCTTTTAAAATGAAACTGGCTGGCACTGTAAAAACGGATCCAAAGAGTCAGTGGACACCACACACACACACACACACACACACACACACACACACACACACACACACACAAATAGAGCATAATTTCTGGTAGCGTTTTGCTGTATACAGACTGAATTGAAAATTTCTTGGCGTGTGCTCTTAAAATGATTATATTCAAAAACCTACAGCTCTCAATTTTTCAGTGGAATGTACTGTACGACACAACAGTTATAAACACACTTTTCAGCATTTAAAATTTAGCAAAAAATCCAGCAACAAGACAAATATGCACTGAACAAATGCCACTATTTGCTGAAGTATGTAAAAATAAATCTCTTATTTGCATGGAAATCGTCACACACAAAATCAAACGTGTTTCTGTCGGGACTTAAAACCTATAAAACTTCTCCCCTCAGTTAGACCAACACTGATTTAAGGCCACACTGGCAACTGACCCAGGTCTTAATGCATTTACAGGCCAAGCTGAAAGAATGAACAGGGTACCACATCAGAGAGACAACAAACTCCCAAACAACCCCGCAGTGGAAAGTCTCTGCTCTGCTCCTCTTTACATTAAAAACCTGATCAAGTACTGAGATGCATCTTTGTGAAGTAAAATCTTCCCAGGATGAAGGAAAAAAAACAAAAAAAAAAGAACAGAAAAAGAAGAAAAAGAAAAATCAAGAACGGGAGATATTCCAGTTCTTCCAAACCTCAGAAATATCTTTAGTTTTAAACATCCAAAATATAAAGTACCTATTTCTGTCTTTTATAAAAGAATCTCCTTGAAAAATACAATAAAATTAGATTTCAAAAAAACTATCGTGCAAATTGGAGTTTGAGTTAAGATACTTCAGACCAGAAGACATCACAAGGTGGTGTGCAGCGACTGGTCTGCCACCTGCTCTGTCCTGTGTGCTGGATGAACGGCGTGGTCAGACTTGAGTCTTTCCTCTGAGTTCCTCATGTATTTGACGCACTGCGAGTCTCCGTCAGGGGGCAGAGTCAGCTGGACGCTGTCTGTCTGTGTGAGCAGAGGCGTGGAGGTGATCCAGCTGGACAGACTCTGATCCGACGGCTCTGAAGTCTTATCGAGAAACTCGGAGTCTTTGGTGGAAGGAGGCAGCTGCTCCCCGGAGAGCGGAGGAGCGTCTTTGGTGTAAGGAAGAGTGTCTATTTCTGTAGGAACTATTGTGTAGAGACCTGAAAGGCCCTTGTCACTGTCTGTGGGCCCCAGCGGGCTCCTCCGACCCGTCTCTTCATCTGCTTGTGAGATGGGCCCTTTCTTGGCATGTGATGCCGTGGAGCTGGGGAAGCTCCTCTGGTCCTTTTTATTGCAACCTTTAGGGGAGGGCTTATTGAGGGACAGGAAGGGAGGCTTGGGGCTGAGCGGTGACCCCACCTTGACCCTGCTCAGGCTGAGGATGTTCTTGCGGGTTTCAGCGGGGAGTTTATCCAACTGACTTCCAACTTGGACCGGACTGGGAAACAGCGTGCCTTGACACGCCCTGTAGAAATATCTGGAAAGAAAAGCAAAACCAGATATCAGGACATTTTCTGCACTACTCCAGAGATGAACATGAGGCTCTTGGACTAAAGATGAAAGGCATCTGGAATTAATCACTGATGAACTTCATGGCACACGTCATAAATATTTGAAAAACGAGCCGCAAATAGCAGCAGTGTACCGAGGCAGCAGCGCCGCCACAGGTGTGATGACACAGAGCAGGTAGAAGAGGGGGTCCTGCAGCAGCCTCTGCATGGTCCAGTAGGGGTTAGAGGGGGGGTAGCAGGTGGGACAGGAGGTGTTGTAGCACAGAGCCACGGTGAAGAACAAGGCTATACTGAAGGAGATAGACAGCCAGTTCATCCAGGTCTACAGGGGAAGGACACAAGGAAACGCTTCATCAATTTACTTTGTTTAGTTTCCTAAAATATTAACAGGAACAAACTGAACATCCAAATCATTAAAAAGAAAAAGATACACGCTATTGTCCACATGTGACATTATCCACAAACTTACTTTGTAGTTGTTGATAAAACATGTACACACACACACACACACACACACACACACACACACACACACACACACACACACACACATAAAGCAGTGAGAACCAGAGGGACGTACATGACATTTTGGATGAAATGGACAAATATAAACACGTATGTATGTATGTGTATATATATATATATATATATATACACCCACCGGCCACTTCATTAGGTTCACCTGTTCAACTGCTCGTTAACGCGAATATCTAACAGGCCGATCACATGGCAGCAACTCAATGTATTTAGGCACATAGACACGGTCAAGTCGATCTGCTGAAGTTCAAACTGAGAAATCAGAACGGGGAAGAAAGGCGTTTTAAGTGACTTTGAACGTGGCGTGGTTGTTGGTGTCAGGCGGGCTGGTCGGAGTATTTCAGAAACTGCTGATCTACTGGGATTTTCACACACAACCATCTCTAGGGTTTTATAGAGAAAAGAGAAAACATCCAGTGAGCAGCAGTTCTCTGGATCAGTTCCTCTTGTTGATGCCAGAGGTCAGAGGACAAAAGGCCAGACTGGTTGGAGCTGATAGAAAGACGACAGTAACTCCAACGACCACATGCAGAAGAGCAGCTCTGAACGCACAACACGCCGAACCGTGAAGCAGATGCGGCGACAGCAGCAGGAAACCACAGCAGGTGCCTCGTATCAACGGTTCAGGCTGCTGGACGTGGTGTAACGGTGCGGGGGATATTTCCTCAGCACCGACCGAGCATCGTTTAAACGCCACAACCTGCCTGAGTGTTGTTGCTGAGCACGTCCGTCCCTTTATGACCACAGTGCACCCGTCTTCTGATGGCTGCTTCCAGCAGGATAACATCACCATGTCACAAAGCTCAAATCATCTCAAACTGGTTTCTTGAACACGCAGCCTCCACAGTCGCCAGATCTCACTCCATCAGAGCATCTCTGGGACGTGGCGGAGCGGCAGATTCGCATCATGGATGTGCAGCCGACAACGTGATGCTATCATGTCAATATGCACCAAAACCTCTGAGGACTGTTTCCAGCACCTCGTTGAATCTGTGCCACGAAGAATTAAGGCAGTTGTGAAGGTGAAAGGGATCCAACCCGGTACTAACAGGGTGAACCTGCTGAAGTGGCCACTGAGGGAAACTGTCGCTTCTGCACAAATGAATTCTTAATCAATTTATTAATCAAAAACCAAAGGACTTGACACTGGAAACGCTCACGCCCTTTTGGCATTGAGAAATGTATTGTGGGTAACCAACCAACAAGAAGAGAAAACAGTTTGTAGCTGCTGAAGACGTGTTACTAATCATACTTCAAAATGAGGAACGGCTCGGTGATGATGGAAAAATAAAACTAAACTAAACTCAACATGGTAGTAAGGGTGATGCTAGTAGCATGGAGGGGGGAGGGGGTGCAGGAAATGAACCAGGTTCCCCTTTAACGCGGCCTCTTCAAGGCGGGGATGTTGTGACTTTATTTCACCTCGCCGGCGGGACAGACGCCGACGCTGTTGTGTTACACGTCACGCCTCTGATCCCTGAACGCCGGCGTGCTCTCTAAAAATCACACACTGGAGCAGCATCATGCCGGCGTTGTGTTTGGTTCAGAGCAAACAAAGGATGGGGGGGGGGGGGGTTGCTGAGGAGGATCAGGGATGAGAGTGAGATCCAGCAAAGAGGAAGGAAAAGAACGAGAGACCCTGAGAACTGGGTTCGTGTAGCACAAGCTGTGTGGATTCTGCTGTGAAAGGTCGGGGAGAGAGACTTCCTGTTGCTACAGTCAGAGAGGGAAATCATGGGAGCCGTGGCAAGACAGAAGGAGTTCATCATCGACCACACAGTGACAAAAAGGAAAAAGAGACAGACAGAAGGACACCACCGAGTCCCGACTCAAACCAAGTCCGAGTACGCAACGATTTCTTTTCGAGGACACTCGATATCAGAGAGAAATCTGGAAGGTCAGTGAAGTGATGTAGGACTGTCGCCAACACGCCTGCAGGGAACGCATCCGCCCGCAAAGACACATCCCAGAGGACGACTAAAAAGTGGATCAGAGATCACATTAAGTCTTGAATCACACCACGGAAGGAAAAACACAACGAGGCGGCAACTTCAGGGAAATCTGAACGCAGCAAAAGACATGCAGAATATTCAACACGGAATTTAATTTAGACTTTCACTAACCCACAAAAGATGCATCCGAGCACCGTGAGCGTTTTGTGACACACAAATCCACGAAGAACGATATGATCCCCGCCGACACAGACAGACAGACAGACAGACACAGAACATGAAGAACGAAGCTTGTGATCTGATCTGTTCTCTCTTCCACACATGGCCGTGCTGCGCTCCGACACATGTGGAGGGCAGAGCAGGAATGCTGCTCTCAGCGCCATGCGTCTCCGCGCAGGAAAAAAAAAACAAAACTTGCCAATTTCCATTACTGACCATAAATTCACGGAGTCTGGACGCAGCCAGATGGAATGCGACGGTGTCTCGTGCACAGTCTCGTGCACAGTCTGGAGGGGTACTACACTGCACTGCACTGCACTGTACTGTGAGGATGGCGAGGAAGAGCACGCCATACAAGGTGACCAGATTTCAAGTCCTTTTCACAACACGTGGTCCGAAACAAAAGCAGGTGGATCTGCACTGAAAATCAAATGTGACCCGTCCAACGAAACATTTACAGAACTACAAGCTGGAAAAACTCCTGCCACGCTTCACGAGTCGGCTACCATCTCGTTTCCAAATCCACCTGAACCTTTCCATGAAACACATCGTCTCTGCCGTGTGACAACAACAAAACACCGGCTTTAAATGTGTTTGTGATGTTTATAATCAGCTGATCTGTTTGTTTTGAAGAGGAGGAGGAGGAGGAGGAGGAAGAAGAGACCTCTGCCGATAATTCAGATAAATCAGACAACTCCCATGATCCCACGCTATTTCACAACGTCACCAAACGCAGGCTTTTGTTATTGTTTTGATTGACAGACTCTGAGCAGCTGAAGTTACATACTGTGAGTTTAACAGATCAATAAGTCAGTTTTCATTCATACAGCCCCCGACTCTCGCCCAGCAACTCCCATATACGACCCTTTCATTAGAGCTGAATTAGTCACACGTTTCTTAATTGGCTTCGTTCGTCCCGGGCTTCGTCTAAAACTAATTAAACTGTAGTAGCTGGATTGGATTTGTAGTTACTCAACATTGTGGTGATTCACACCGGGGTTGTACTCCGCTGCTCTGTTGTATGTTTTGCTTGCCGTCACCTCAGATACCTTTAATTTACTTTCCCCGCCGTTTACCGATCATGAATGTTCCCGTGCAGCCGGAGAATGAAGAACCTGCCAGCTGAGCATTTGGAAATGTTTTCGTCCGTGGTCGATGCAGCTCGCCGTGAACACTCCTCTGCACGAGGGGCCGTCGTGTCCAGGAAGGCAGTTAGTGAAAAGGACATTTTTCATGTACAAAACTTGTCAGGCTAAATTTACAGCCTCGGCATAATGGAAAAGACTCCCGATTCAATGCAGGGTCATAAATTTAAAATGGCTTGTGACTAAGACCGCCGGGCCGTTTACGAGAACCATGAGATTACCTGAGAGAGAGAGAGAGAGAAAAAAAAAAACCAAGAGGGAGGGAAGAAGATACGCAGGTGTTTTGGAGCTGTGTGGCAGCGTGAAGTGCCTTTGTGGTTTAGACAGTTTGCAGTTTTCCTGGACGGAGGCAGACAGACTGTCAGGCTGATGTATAGGCTCTGCTGCTGCAGTGCCTTCTGGTTCAATGTAATCAGCCAGAGTTAAATATCCACGTGCCTGTCAGCCCTTCACACCAGTGCTCTCACAAAGCCAACATGCTGGTACGAGAGAGAAACAGCAGCGCTGGGGAGAGAAAGGAAGCGTCTCTCTCTCTCCTCAGCTCAAGTGAAGAAATCTGCCATCAGTGAGTTTAAAATGAATTTCTTTACCCAGGTTTTGGTCTCAATGCCCAAGTGCAGCAGAATGGTGAATAAAGCGAGGGTGGTGATGGGAGTTCCCCATGTAAACAGATCCACATCAGAGTCAGCGTAGGCCTGGGGAGAGGAAGAGGGAGAGTGGGAGGAGACAGGGAGGAAAGAGGGGAAATGATGAGTAAGTAAGAGCAACAAACTGAGTGAAGACCAGCTGATGGAAATGAAAACCAGACTCACGAAGTAAGGAATGAAGAAGCAGACCAGACTCTGGTAGAAGGCATCGATCATGTTCATCCAGAACATATATGGCTTATATTCCTGCAGGAGAGAACCAGAGATCCACAGTCACGCGTCTCATCAGTGTGACCGAGCGGAGGTCGAGAGCGAGGAGCAGCGCCGTGTAAAAAGAATACTGTCAGGCATCGTAAAGTCAAAGCTTCTCAATGATCCATCTATATGCACGAAATGAAGAAACTGTCTGGAAAAGCTTGTAACTGTGAAAATGTAATGACTAAAAAAAAAATTAAAGATGATAAAGTAGATTTTAATTACAGCAGAGATGGTTCACGTCCTGATTTCCATCAGTATGTGGTGCTTGCTTAGTTGTGATGGAGACATGATGACAACTGAACCATCTCCATGACAACTGAGCAAAATCCATCTGCTGATAAAGGCCATGAGATGTGGCTGAAAGCTCTAGAAGAAATTTATTAAGTGGACCCTTTTTATTAATAAATAAATAAATAAATAAAAATGAAAATAAATCACATTAAGACATTTTTGCTAAATTATTTTCATAATTGGTTAAACGGTCAATTATTTTCTTGATCAATCGATTAATCTATGAAATGTGAAAAAGTATTGAGAAATTCCTGTTACAACTTCCCAGAAACGCAAATTGCTTGATTGTCCGACCTGCAGCTCAAAAAATGTTTCGTTTACCATCATATGTGACAGTAAATCCTGAAATCCGCCTCACCCCTGACCAATCAGAAAATGGCCACATTTTAGCCTTAATAAAATTTAAACGTGCGAGTTAAATAAAAGTTCACTCCCTGTGCAGGTGTCAAGAAGGAGGAAATTAGCTCTAGAGACCAAAACAGTTTTTGTACCAGGCTGTAAACATGTTTATTTCTGCTGTAAAGTTGGACATTTTAACATGGGAGTCTATGGGGACTGACTCACTGTTGGAGCCAGACTCTAGTGGTCGTTAGAGGAACTGCAGCTGCTGCCAATTCTGTGTTGTCGGATCAAACCGATATTTGGTTTATTATTCCTGAAAAGTGACTGACTAATATATAAATTGAGGAATTGTAAAATGAGCATTTCACTGTGATATTGTAATGTCGACCATTTATTCTGCCATGATCGGAGCAAAACAGACCCTTTATCGTTAGTTTTAATGTAATGTGATGAATGTGAAGTGATGTCAGTTTAGTTTCCAGTGGCTTCTGTAAACATTGATCTATTAAAATCTTTCATTTTTCCAGGCTCATATTCTCCCCGTGTCGTTGGTTGTTAAACGCTGAAACAGAAAATGTGACGGGACCTCGGAGTTCTGGCCGGTCATGTAGAGCTGAGGTAGTTGCTGGAGAGTCTCCGCTGACACGTCTTTGTCCAGAGTGCCAGTGATGAGTTGTGGGAAGGCAGAGAACATCATGTTGAAGAAGATGAGATACCACTGGTCAATCATGGCTGAACCTGAGAACCCACAGTAGAACTGATACCAGAAGATGAGCGCTACAAACATCTGTGGGAAGAAAAGGACATAATCAGCGCGGATCCACATGAGGACGCAGAGGATTAAAAACAAGGACACACACCCTCGGTTTTTAACGCATCTAAACGACATATATAAACCCTTTTCCGCCAAAATTAACAGGCTCTTTAAAACACGTGAAAACCCGCTGATAAAAGCCAAATGACGCCTTTTTCATTTCCATTGATCGGACTGAGGACACACACAGCTGCAGAGAGTGATGTCATCACATGCACTTACAGAGCACACACACACACGCAGTGGAGAGGGAGAGAGAGAGAGAGAGAGAGAGAGAGAGAGAGAGAGAGAGAGAGAGAGAGAGAGAGAGAGAGAGAGAGAGAGAGAGAGAGAGAGAGAGTGAGAGAGAGAGAGAGAGAGAGAGAGAGACGCTGGCCGCCATGCAAACTGGTAAAACGGATCCTGTGAGACGTTTCCATCAGTGATTGTGTGTTTTTAAAACCTACTTCGGGGCTGCAGCTCACTCTTTCATGCTGAAGCGCTGTGTAGCCCCGTGCTGGACAGGTGACAGGTCTGTTTACAGTGTTTGTCCGATAAATACCTGCGTCTAATGCAGAGTCATTTGACCCGGATGTGACAGATTGAACCCTTTTCCACTGCCGACAAAAGGCCGATGTCTTAGCGGGTTTTTTTTTTGACCAGTGGAAAAGGGGCTATAGACACACAGACTGTTACTGTGTTCGCTAATATTCAGTGATCAGTACATAAAGATGCTTACAGCGTTTTTGTAGAAGAAATAGAGGATCATGTTAGCCAGTCTGGAGTAGCACCAGTGTCCGTGGACCAGCAGAAGCTTCTGGAGATACCGGAAACGTGGGAGAGCGAAGTCGCTCGCCATCACTGCCTGCAAAACACCAGAAGGACCAAACAGTCAATCTCATCCATCCTGCACTTTCGCCCTCCCTCACACCATCTACACACACACACACACACACACACACACACACACACACACACGATTTGTGCAGCTATTAATGTCTGGCCCTGCTACACTCGCCTGCCGCCCTTTAATGAATCTTTAGCGGTGTTTAATCTTTCCAAAGCAATAAGCCTTAAACGAGTTGTCCACCTTTCGGGATTCATCGTTACAGCGGCGGGAATATGCCGGTCTCATCTATCAACATCGGAAACAAAACCCTCCCTGGAGTCAAGCCTGGTTCATAACTTACATTTTAAACAACGGTGCTAACTCTTCATGACACCTCTCAACTGTCAACAGCATCTGTCAACAAGAAAAATAACAGCAGATGCCTCATTGTGCAGCAATTTACTTTCTGCTGCGCTCTAATAACAGCCTCGTAACGAGCGCGTGGGGAGTGCGCTCCTAGCAGAAGAAAGGTGTGTTAATCATAATGCAGCGTGTGTGCTGGCCCGAGTGCAGAAATGTGCGTCTCAGCACACCGTGGGATCCCGAGGAGTGACTGCTGTGTCATTAAAAGCAAATTTGATTAACAATGATTAATCTAGCGGCTCAGTTAAGGACAGGATACTGAGACTTTAACAGATGTGCTACACAGCAGCGTGTCTGTGAAGCCTCCCCTGGAAGTTAATTGGGAATCTCCATCATTGCGATGCAAAAATCACCTTTCTGGAACAGGGCACTACTATAAAATGCACAAGGGGGGGGTGTGGGTCAACTGTTTTTTTTTTTCTCGTCTTCCTGCAGCCATTTTTCAGTGATGCTGCCTTAGCTGTGGCATTGGCCGTGACCTTAGAGCAGGAAGAGAAGCTGGTGTGGATGGAGTCGAGACCATAAAGTGTACCGATTCTCTGCAGGGTCGCGGGAGAAGATACCTGAGTCAGCAACACACAGGCAATCCTATTTAGAGGAAGTGTATGGATGTGGGGCTAAAACACACACTTAAGAGTAATGAAAAACCATTAACTATGCTGAAGAAGTGTCTTTGCTTGTTCGTTTATCTTCTCTCCCGTAGATCCTCTCACTTTCTACTCATCCTCTACTTTCGTTTTTCCTTCTTATGATCCCCCTTCAACTCTCTTCATCCTTCATCTCCCCCTGTTCCCAAACGGTCACGCCAAGATTTCGTTTTACTGCTTACCTGCATGCCCTCCTGTCCCGAGATCCCCACGCCCACGTCCGCTACCTGGATCATGCTGACGTCATTGGCGCCATCACCTGTAATCAATACAGAGATAATACATCAACTGTAATCAAGAGATTGACAGGCCGTCAGTTCGTCAGCAGCCTGGAAGCAGAGAGAGGTTATATTATGGTAGCTGTGCGTGCATGTGTGTGTGTGTTTGTGTTTGTGTGAGTGTGTGTTTGTGTGAGTGTGTGTATTATCCAGTGTTTACCAGGTGCCCTTCACCAGCTCCACTGTCCCTCTGGCTGCAGTGGCTGATGTGAGGTGTGTTTTTATTTTGTTTTCTGCTCCACTTTGAGGGCTGCTGATACTTTCTTTTGTCACCTCAGGTGGGAGAGTGGGAGGTGAAGTGTTGGCGGGCAGAGAGAGAGATTTGTTGTCAAAACACTAAACAGCGCTGGAGTGGCAGCGCAAGGTGAGTGAGAGAGGTGGGCGGTAATGAGCGCTCAAGCAGAAGTTACCGTCGATGCAGTCGGACAAAATCCACCAACACACACGTCTGTAAAACTACAGTTCATATATATTAAAGGGGAACTCCACAGAAAGTCTCATGAAACTCCCTCTGGAGACAAACCGATAACTCGTGATATTAATCAGCTAACGTTAGCTACCACAGCCAACACCGTCTCCTCACTCTACGGCCCCTTTAGGAGACCAGCAGCAGGTCTGAGTGTATTATCAGTATATTATTAGCCTATCAAACTGACATGACTTTGTACTGGGCTGATCAGATGTCGTTAGTAGATAAAAGACAGCGGCAAAAAAGGCGCAAATTTGTTCGTGTTGCATCGTTTATTGTTGTATTCTTTTGGCAGGGACAAGTAATCCATCAGTTAGTGTTAAAAATGCTTTGCCGAGCTTTGTGCAGCAACAGGCTGTAATAACAAGAAAAACAGATCTGTCTTTTCTTTCCCAAAGGATGCAGAGAGTTAAGTTTACACAGGGATAGATTTTAATATTAGCTACTGTCACATTTCATGCCAGTTGCCTTGGGTTGAGGGACAACACCCACTTAGGAGACCGGAACTGTTTCCCATTTCATAGCATTAGCACTGCCTGTAATGCGGCATCTTCTGTAGAGAGGGTCTTTGGTGGTACGGGCAGGGGCTAGCTGGTTAGCATGCTAACTTCAACGTGATAGAAACAAGAGTTAACATTGGTGTTACTTTCCACCTCTGGAGACAGATGTTGATGAGTAAAGGAATGAAGCAAAACTTACAAAATAGCTCCTTTAATGCTGTGTCATAATATCAAGCTCACAAGGCAATCCAGCTAGTTAGCCGGCTAGCTAGCATGTTTAGCCTTGTTAAGCTAAATAAAGGGAGGGGTTAGTTATTGTGTCTCTGTGCCGTGTGTATTTACAGCAGCTTCTAGCTGGTTGATTTCAAATTACTTTGGTCTTGTTTTTAGTCTTGCTAACAACAGCTAACTTGCTAAATTTGGTAGCAGTAGATTAGCTTAGAAGAGGCTAATGTTGACAACTCTTTTCTCAGGAAACGTGTGACTGGGAAAAATAAATGAAACTCTTTAAAAATGCACATTTTGAATTAAAAAGTTATTAAGTTAAAGAGTTATTAAGTTAAAGAGTCATAACAATCTATTAAAGTCTTTAAAAATGTGTTGGTTGCTCTATTCATATGACCATTTATTTCACGCCTTCTTTATTTATTTAATATTGAACACTTTTAGGTTCCATATTGGACTTTAACTACTGATTATTTTGATAATCAATTAATCTGGATGATTGATTATTTTCTGATTTAGTTTTTAGTCTAGAAAATGTTGTAAAATTGACATGAAATTATTGAATTACTTTTCTGTTCTGTCTTAAAACACAACTAACTTTTCAAAGCAGTGTACGCGGCGCGTAGATCATATTCAATTTTTTTTTTTTGCATCTTTTTCTTGCTTACTGTGGATGATTTAAATCGCTGTAACAGCAGGAAAACAAATGACACATTGAAATGTTGTGTGAGGTAAAATATAATTAACATATAGATTACAGTAGGCGGAGGCTCCATTCTTGTTAGTGTCTGCAAGGTCTGAAAACGATGAAAATAATAAGATTAGGGCGCTGATAGATGTTAGAGCTGCAGCATCATCTGCTGTTTGCAGCTGCAGTGTTTTCCTCCACATTACTGCAAACATAGCAGTGACAGAAAAGAGCTTGTCTGGCAAAGTCGTGATCCTCCTGAGTGCAGCACAAACAAATAAATGGAAAGCAGGGGAAAGACGCCCTCACGTCACCTCCGTTATGCTAAAAGTGTATAATTACTAAAGGGTCCCTAAAATAACACTGTTTCAACTCAGTGGTCACAGCAATGGTGCAGAAAGTGTGTATGTTTGATGATTGAGCACGTCTCTCCGGCCTAAACTGTGGGAATAATTGTTATAAATATTTATTTAAGAGGAAAAGATGTTTTATGTTCATGCTGCTTGAAGACGAGCCTTTGGGCTACTACACAGTTATTTGACAACTCTATGAATTATGAATATTTCGTTTGCTGAACTGGCCAAAATATTTGACGCTCCCACACTCAAACTATCAGCTGCTCAGGTTTTTCTTTTGGACGATGCATCACCTGAAAGTGCATAAATGAATGCAGATTTTTCAAATGGTACACTTGATAGTTTCAGTTTCTGTGGGTAAGGTATTTAAGAAGTGTTTGACTTCATGTGAAATGTGTATTTAGTTTATACACAATGGCTACACGCCAGCATAGGCTTCACTAAGGTTGGCAAGTCTGTAGTCTGAGCTTTTATTACAACACAGGCTTCCTTGTTAAAAATTTCCAAACCTTATCTGTAAAAAATATAAATAACCCTGATGCTCCTTTCAGAGTCACAGAAAACATTGTACAACTGCGTTCACTGGAAAAACAAAACTATGTCACACCTCAGAGGTTTTATAAAAGTCTGATTAAAATCAGATGCTGGTCCTTTTCTACTCCTACTGGGAAACAACCTGGAACCAGGACTGGAGGCGTAGACCTGCCTCACTATGTTTCAGTGATGCTAACTGGTTACCGTTTTGGAGAGGCAGCACGCTTTTCAAAGTAGGCACAAGTTATCGAGACGACTGATGAACATGAAATACTTCAGGTAAGCCAGTCTGAAGTTGTAATATTTGCGTCCCCGTGCTCCGTCGGCAGCTGTGTTTTCAGGGGCTCAGGCGTGTTTTAATCTGTCTGGACGCTGCTGATGAGCCTGAAGGTTCAAGACTCCAGCTTATAGTTTAATCAGTGTAGTGATAAGGAATGTTTATTTCCCAAATTTAGCTCCTCACATTAAATATTCATATTCTCTTTTGAACAGGACTGGAAATGATTTTGGACATGTTCTTCCTTTTTTGACAAATCTGATATCAACATGCATTTTAATCGTCTAACTGTGATCTTAAGATGGACCATAAACACCGAGCTCAAAGACAAAGATATATTACACTGTACACGTGAATGTGTGTGATAGCGTCTTGTTGACCTGGTACTTACCTATGGCCAGAGTCATGACCTTCAGCTTGTTCCGCACCAGTTTGACCACCATGCTCTTCTGCAGCGGCGTGGAGCGGCAGCAGAGCACTGAGCGACAGCTCCGCGCTACTGCCAGAAACTTATCCTCCAAACTCTTATCCAGGGCGTAAGCCAAGGTCCTCCCATCAATTACCAGGCCCAGCCGGTGCACCATGAAGGGAACGGTGTGGGAGGATGAGGAGGAGGACGGAGATGAAGCGGGATAGATCTCAAAGGGTGGAAAGTTAGCGTGGAAGGCCTTGGCGGTTTGGTCTGTAGAGCTGCAGAGGAATTTGGCCTGGATGTAGTGTAAACTCTCCTCCAGCAACAACGCACATGCCTCCTGGTTCAGAGACAGGCAGAGAGGGGGCTGGACTTCAGGATCAGGACACGGAGTTGTTTAATATCAAACTGTCTGACCTGCTTCACATCTGGCAGCCAGATGCTTCAGCAGCAAAGAATTAAACATCGTGGGTCCTCAGATGACTGTCTGACCTCATTTTTTAATACTGGCAGTTTTTCAATAAAGATAACGGACAAACAAATAAATTATATTAATAAGAATTGTTAAAACATGTTGCAAAATATGCTTATTGACTTTGTTGCTGAGAATTGGATGAGAAGTTTGATACCACTCTATACGATAAATAATAACCAGCACAGTTAGCTTAGCTTAGCATAAAGACTGGTACACGATGAGGAAGTAGGTGGAGGGCCGGGCGGAGCGTCAACAGCATTAGCTTGATTTCCAGAACTTGCATACAGAAGCTTTGATCTGTCAGTTATTTTCTTGATTTATTGATTAATCAACCGTCAATAAAATGCAAACAAGGAAAATTGTGGAAAATTAACACAGATTTCTTCAAATTGCTCATTTAGTCCAGACCCAAAGATATTGACGATTACTGTCAACCAGCTACTTGTTTTGGCTCTACACGTTCCATATTATTTAATTTGTGCAAGAATCTCAGTGTGAAAACGACAAATTGAGGTTTTACCGAAGGGCTTATGGGCTTGTTGTCATACTGTTGCCAGGTAACCAGCAGAAATACCAGGAAGTGGCATGAAACCGGCATTTAACCTCCTGTAAAACCGCAACTCTTATTTTTCTACAGATAAACAAATGGACAGAACCAGGCTAGCTGTTTCCCCTAGTTTCCATTCTTTATGCTAAGCTAAGCTAACTGGCTGTCGCTTCCTGTTTACTGCACAAATAAGAGTGGCATCAGTCTTCTCATCTTAACTATTGGCAACTATTCCTTTAATTAAACAGCCTGAAAAAACACTAGCATACTTTATATATATTATCTTTCATTCACCGTATATTTACTATATTTTAGGAGCAAACCCAAGCAACGTGACAATGTTCTGTTTTATATTCACTTTGGATATTGTAAACTTGAATGTGTCGACTCTTCAAAATAACAAGGTGGACTTTACGAAATCCTGGTTGGTGTCGCTCACCTGAGAATCAGCATTCAGCGTCAGGATCTCCTCCTCGGGGTCCAGCAGCTTGCAGGCATACGCTATATTTACGGCCGTTTCTTGTTTGTCACCCGTCAGCACCCATATCTGCAGGCCGGCCTTCCTCAGAGACGCTATAGTTTCAGGCACGCCGTCCTGCAGACGGTCCTCAATGCCCGTCGCTCCTGCAGGTGAAGATGCACGACTGTGACAAACCCTCCAACAATAACATTATATACTTATTTAAATGAGAACTGTGAACAAGCCTTTGTCTGAGGAGGCCTGGAGACGGAGGAATATAAATTACCTAAAAGCTGGAGGTTTGTTTCCAGTCGCAGGGCCGACTCGAAGAGCAGCTCCTCTCTTCCCTGAATGGCCGTTTCAGCCTCCAGGTGACGCTGCAGCCAGCAGGCATACTCATCCTTGCTCAGGGTCTGGCACATGAACACAGACATTTACACACACACACACACACAAACACAAACACCATTATCTGTTAAGTTAACAGTGGAGCAGCTTCTCCTCCTTTGCCCACATAGCAGAGGAGGATCCACAGGAAAATGTGAGACCTTGAGAAGGTGTTTCATCACATCGCTCTGGTGACGGGTTTTGCACAAGCAGGGATATAATGAGCCCAGCTTGTGAGAGCATAAATTAACAGCCTGGGAAAGTGGCACAGATTGCAGCTGAGTCACGAAGAATGTCACTTTAGGAAGCGCCGGTCTATGTGATCATCTGTGCCGGGCTACAAACACAACCTGCCGAACAGCCACTGAGACACATCATCTGCAGCTTCTGAAGCAGTTTAATTAGAGAGGGCCTTTGTTAAGCACTTCTTAAGGAGGTATGAATCCCTGTTACCTTTTTTGCAATGCACAGCGTGCGAAGGCCATCTGCAGCGTACAGGTTCAGGTAGTTCTGGGTCCTGTAGATGATCTTTTTCTGGCGTTTCCCTTTGGAGTTACCTTAAAAAACAAAAAACAGAAAATCAAGATTAAACATTCTTGTTTTTGGGGAATTTGTGTAAATGTTTGAGCGTTTTTGGTTCCACACTTGCCAAAGGCTTCTTCCAAGAGGCACATGAAAGCCATCTGTCTTCACACCTAAACTTACCATGTTCACTGCGCCTCAGTACATTTCAGCAAGTCTCCACATCACTCATCGAGTAAAATGTGAAAACAACATGACCAACCGTAATTTATCTGCTTCAATTAATTCTCTAACTGACTGAATATTACATGTCGTTTGAGATGTTTTTGAAGTATCAGGTTTTGTACTTGAGTCTCGCTGAAGTGTCTCTGTGGCGCAGCATGCCGGCGTCTTTCTGGCACGGGGACGGCGTACAAACAGATTGGCTTCATCAGACACAGATGCACCGGCCAACCCTCCGACTGCCAGCCATGTAAGCTCACTAATAACACAACAGCTTTGCTACACACGCACTGCCACACAAACTTATTCTTACTGACAGGAAAAAATCAACACAAAAACTCTCCGCAGTCTCTGAGTCTTTAAAGTGACTTTAAACACGATGAACATGTATGAACGTCTCATGTAAAACTGATGCAGCAGCTTCAGCTTCACTAATATTCTTGTTATTTGTGAGAAAAAAAACTCTTTCCTTCCTTTTTGGCAGAGGGGGAAAAAAAAAGTATTTCCAAGGACAGCAGGAGTTTTTTTGTTTTTGACAAATAGCTGCTAGGCCCAGACTGCTCTGCAGATGCAGGTGGAACTGCACACAATGTTTATTTTACCTACTCCTGAAGATGGGAAAGTCCACCAAAAACAAGACGTGTCCAATAGAGAAAGTCCAATATTCACTCTCCTTTTAGTTCTGGTCAGCTCCTCAGAGAGGTCTGTGGTTCTTTAGCTGCTAACCTGACATGTGGTGCTTGGCGGGTCACGTTCGGTGCGGTTGTGGAGCTATTTCGTCTTTTTGAGAGAAGTGAGAGTGAATGAAAACGAAAACCAAAGAGTGAAGTGATGATTATTTGTGGGTTTGTAACTACAAAACGGCCCTTTCACCATTGTCATTATTAAAATATTGATTGATTTCAAGTGGATGACTTCCTATCACCATATGATGTTTTTTTTTAATACAGATATATGATGAGTGAAACAATCATCGACACCATGACTGAGTGTTTCCACCTTCACAGTCTCATAAAAACAGATTCAGAGTTTCATACGTCACAAACCAAAGGAACCAATCCTGTCAGCTTGTGGGGATGGGGGCGGGGCTAAATAAACCTGAAACCTTGTCAGTAAAGAGAGCAAGAGTTAGCATTAGCACAACTGCTAACACTGTGTCAGCCGCTGCCAGTTACAAGCTAACAAACAACATAAACAAATAAAAGATGTTAACGGCGCTAACGGTTCTGATCCGTCTGTTAGTCTCTGGTTCTGGTCTCAGACTCCTCCTCTGAGTCTGGGTCTGACTGAGGCTCAAACATGTGGCTGAGTCTCTCTGATGTTTCCTCCTCTCACCATCTTGATGCTCTCTGCTCTTTCACCTGTCCACCTGGAGCCAGCAGGTGGTGGGCGGGGCTCAAGGCCTGATCCAGATTGTTCAATGAGGAAGTAAGAGGAGATTTAAATTTTTCCCCCTCCACTTTTCATGTGTGAAAACCAACTTAAACACAATATTAATCAGAGCAGAGGAATTTTTTTTTACACAGTTTAAAACATGCCTGGAGAGGAACTTTAACATGCAAATTCTGCTTTGAGGTGGAATGTGCCGTTTTACCAGCAGCAGCAGCAACAGTAGAGTTACTTCATCAGACACACACTCCAGCCTCTAAGCCCCAAGGGTGTGCAGTCTACCTCCGGCACCTCCACGTGCACTGTTATTAGAGTGACACTGAACAACTCCCTCATCGCCTGAATGGAGCCATTATGGAGGTCTGTGTTATGAGGAGGCTCAACTCTCGCTGAGCTCTAATTGGCTGCTTTGACCCAATGGTAAAACAAAGAAGTGAGTTGTCCGAGCGAAGACACACCCTGTCGGCCTTTTAAGGTGGTGAACTGAGGCACAGGGTGGAGGAGGGGTGGGGACTCTGTCCCGTTTGGAGTGCGTCTCCTCTAGTGAGCAGCACCGCTCTGTGCATTTTAAGTAAGTGAAAAACTTCCGTGCCAGCTCAGACATTGCTCTACGGAGGGCATTAGAGATGATGACCAATCAGCACAGCCCGGTAGCTAAATGCAAAGGGACCGGCGTGGCCCTCATAATGGAAAAATCAATACAATAAATCACATTGTAATTCAGAATTCCTCAAGAAAAGAAGTGCACTGCATGTCAGCTGGAAAACATGCCAAAACAAGACGGGAGCGCTTTCCTCCACCTCCGACTCCACTGACGTGCTACAGTTAAACAAGTCTCCATTCAGCACGGGAGGATCGTTTAGTTGGAAAGCATTTCTCAGGGAGGCTGAGATGAACTGCCTGCCTCTAATGAACAGGAGGGAGCCACTAACCAGCCATGTGAAATAAATGAATTACCCACACGACACGACAGGACGCTTTTACTGAAGGAGGACTCGAGACAAGTTGCTGCACAGGTTGATTCAGGTCAGCCCATCAAAACATAAATCTGTGGAATATATATATATATATTTATATATATACGACCGGTTTATGGGGCTTTTTTTACACCCAACACCACATCCTGAGGAGAAAATCCACATCTTACTAAATCACAGCCAGAGAGTAAAGAAAAGACGAGCACAGAAATCTTAAAAGAGGCGAACCACTTTCACAAAGTTGTTGTCGTTTCGTATCGTAACGTCACGGCAAGAAAAAGGCGAAATCCGGTTCGACTTATTTTCACTTTCTGACGTGCAGACAAGCGTGTGTGTTGGCATTGTTATTACTGCTTTCTCAACAGCTCGTGATCAGCAGATATAGTTAATAGTAGCTGTTAATTAGTTTTTAATTTAACATACAGACTCTCACACATTCCTGAGGTTGATCTGCTTTGCTTTCATCCCGGAAACAAACTGCTTCAGAGGGACTGAGATCGTTTGATTATTTGGGTTTCAAACATGTTCTGTAATAAAATCTTAAAAGCAAAAATCTGTAAAAAAAACATTTGAGAACCACAACGCTTTCACAGCAGCCAAAACAAACCCAAACCAAACAAGCAAACGCATCAGAGTTCATTTAAACAAGATCAGACGAGGAACCTTTAACTCCACCCCCCCCCCGTCAGTAACTCAGGCTTTCTGTTTAAAGTCTCACGCCGAGCTCAAGATCACAGACTTCTCCAAGCTCCTCCCGAGCCAAAGAACAGATCACAAGTCATACCGCTCATCACAGGTAAAGTGATGCTCCTTTTAACGTGTGGCCACAAATCTCTTAGTTGAAACAAGTAGTTAATCAACAGAAAACGTAAATCTCCAACTAATCGATCACTTAAGACGAAATAAGAATCCTGAAGGTGTTAACTTGGGCCTCCGGGGGAATTACGATGACGTTAGACTACACGATTAATAAATTCATTAAAAAAATATAACGTAAACGTGAAATAATCTTCAGCTGCAGCATGAAAACGTGTGTGTTGCGTGAAGCCCTCAGTCTGTGAAACAGTCGGAGCTGAGCGCTCCGGGACAGATGTCTGGTGACTGTGTGCGGCGCATTAGTGAAAAGTGCCTGTGTGGCTCTTTGTGTGCCTGGAATACAAACGACCTGCTACACCTCTGCCATTAGGATGTTGGAGAACTTGTAGAGTACAGAGGAACAAACACACAAAGAAGCCCGGAAGTGTTTTGTCTTTGTTTTTTTTTTTGTTTTTTTTAGGGACCTGTCAACGCAGGCATCCAGTTTTGCTGCAGTGACTCGCTCTAAAAATACAAGTTCTTACATAACATGTCACCTTACACGTTTACATCAGTGGAAAACATGAAGCTTCGGGGCGGAGGGGGGTGAAAGCGGGAGTGCTGTGTGAAGACGGAGACCGCCACCCTGTGCTGGCGTGTTAGTCCACAGACACTCACACGGTATAATCGCAGTTTCTCACCGAACCTGAAGCAGCTACGACTGAAAACAATCACTTTGGACTGAGATGAGTTCAGTGATTTGCGGCTGATCTATGGTTCACAGCTATGATTCATTCTGGTGAAGTCTGCAGACATGATCCTCAGACCACATTGACAGCGGTGCCAACATTTACCGAGAGTGCACCAACCACTAAATCCACCTCCAGCCTCCAACCGGGCACAGTGATCTGAGAACAACTGAAGCGACTGTGGAAATGAGTGTTTTCCTACCTGTGTTGGGAGGTGTGATGAGGTCCATGATGACAGAGTCCGCACCTTTAGTGTACACAGTGATCTGATCCGTCAGCGGATGTCTGACCACCACGGACATGCGTTTCCTGGTGGAGTCGAAGCCCAGCGTGTGCAGCAGCTCAAAGCTCAGCTTCCCCAGGTGCGGCAGTTCCACAGTCACCTGGTCAGGGAGGCGTCCGACGAGGGAGCATTTGTAGGCCCTGGCAGCGTAGACCAGCGCAGCCTCGTCGGGCGACTCCGCCTCATAGCGCAGCTCGCTCTCCTCTGGGCCCCGCGCCTTCCCGTCGTAGCAGGGCAGGACGGGGCTGAAGGCGTGGTCCAGGTCTCTGGGAGGCTGCTCCTCGTCCAGCTTGGTGAGCGTGCTCTCTGCAGAGGGGGAGGACAGCATGCTGGAGCACCCTCTGTTGGAGGAGCGGTTCGTGATGAGGCTGGAGGAGCTGCTGCTGTTGGAGCCTGAGGTCAGTCGGCTCGGGGTGAAGCGTTTGATGAAGTCCTCGATGGTCTTCACCGGGGACTTCAGCTCAAACCTCATCCGGACCTGGAGGACGAGGACACCTGAGTCAAACACACCTAAAGCGGCAAGTAAGCAGAACTTATTCTCACAACAAAGCAGCTATGAAGCTTCATTTTCAGCCTTTTATCATCACGTTACTGAGCTGACGTCAGTTCAGCAAAGTCAAACTCTTTCAGCTGCTGCTCCAGGCAAACATTAAGGTGATGTGTACTCCCCGATAATCCAACGTTCACTCCCACTACATGCAGTGAATGGTCAGCTGTGTGTGTGTGTGTGTGTGTGTGTGTGTGTGTGTGTGTAGGGGGACATGGTCATGATAAAAGTAAAGATCTGAAAACTTTGATGAAACGTGTCTTTTCAGCTCCTCCTGCAGGTTCCTCAGATGCTCATTAATCTCTAATCTAATGTTATTTAGTTATTCCCCCATGTTACTGTCATTCTCATTATAATATTACAGGTATTGTTTCTTTGTTTTTGTGCACAGTTTGAGTGTTTTCCTGCTCTATGTGCCCTTTAAACTGCCCCCTGGGGACAAATTAAGTTAATTGAATTGAATGTCTTTCCCTCTATTGTCCAAAGTTACACTGATTTTGGGAAACACTTTTAAAGCTTCAGAAGTTTGTACGTTTGGTTTATAATAATGTTAACAATACTAGTAAGTATAACTTTATGTATATAGCACTTTTCTTAACAAAGTTAGAAGCACAGTCAAAGTGAAGAAGAGGAAGAGCATGAACAAAAACATGCTGAAGAAGAAGAAGTCAACGAGTTAGAGCATCTGATTTCAGACAGAGCTTGATTTCAGTCTGAAGACGCGGTGCAGAGCAAAAGGTTTAGGCACTAAAAGTAAAGTGCGGATGCTTTGAAAGATAAAGCCACAGTCCTTCTGTGGACTGTGTCTCTGCGGAGGCTCCATCATCTGTTGCAGGATGAATGGAGGACCGATCGGACGGCTCCCCGACGGTCCGGTGTGACGGATAAGAATCTGAAACATTTAAAGTGCCTTAAACTTTCGCACAGCGCTGTGTTTGAGAAACCGGACTCAACTCTAGTGGCACAGAGGACTTGATGAAAATGCACCTCCTGGCTATAATCCTTTAGCCAATCCCTTATCCCAAGGTGGTGCAGTACAACAGCAGCGTGACTCACTGAGGGCTCCTGGCAGCAGGAGCCGCGGTTCTCACATATACAGATATAAATCATCCAGGTGCTGGGTGAGCCATGAGGGCATCATAAGAAAACGTGAACAATTACACAGAAACAAAGGACAAAAAAAGTACAAACGATAAAAAAAAGAAAGAAAGGCCATTGTATCAAAGTGTTTTCTGTGCAGATTTACATTTCCTTCCATCTTATCAGATAACCTCCAAACAGAAACACAGCGTACATAAATAATGTGTCACTTTGTAAAGCTTAATCTCCACAGATTTGTGCCTCTGACCAGCGGGACGGCGAGCTGGTGCACACAGCGAGCGCTGAGCAGAGGATATCACCTCTGAACAGGACAACCACACCCAGGCTCGCACCAAAACAAAACAAAACACGGATACACAACTGCGACCGGACCGAGCACATCAAAAGACACAGGCAGCAGGACAGCGAAAAGCTACGTGCAACAGGACACTTTGAGTATTTTGGAAGGTTTTTGTGCTTTTGTTTTTGGAGTAAAAGTACAGCAAAATAACGTGCAACCATTTGTCAAACGATGGAAGCTACTCCCATGCTGTTCAAAAAAAGAAAAACAAAAATAATTAGAGACATTAGAGAGCCCCTCGTGTTCAGGCTTTGGAAGGATATCAGTAGAATTACTCCCTACTGGAGCCGTTATTGATGCTCCTTTAAATACCCCCAGCTTTCTAGATATTAATCTCGCTTACAGCTTCTCTCAGGAGCACGCCGACCAGAAGACAGTGGCTCAAAGCGTCAGAAAATAAATAAAAATAGGGATCTGAAATGAGACAGTACTGTGGCTTTTTGGTGATGGTGCAATGAGACGATGCTTCTGCAGATTTCGTGGCAATCCATCTAAAGGTTTTTGAGGTAAGTCTGTCTGTGGCCGACCGGCAGTGTCGGGCAGCAAACATCCAGTGAGGGAACAACGCTCCCGACAGCCAGAAGGTATAACGGATGTTACAGGCAAGAAAAAACTTCAAGCCCTTTGTAGATTAAAATGTGAGAGTTCAGACAATTCAGAGCTGAAGACTTGCAGATTCTCTGATACACAGTTTATTTTACAAATTATTGAAATCACAAAATGGAAGAGTTCAACATCCAAATCGCAGGAGCTGCGAGGTCAAATGTGTCAGAACAAACTATTAAATGAAGCACTGCGGTGCTGCAGCGACCGGCCTATAAATAATATAATATATATATATATAAGGGAACATGCACAGAACAAATCGCATCATTATCATTTCTATTTGTATTTTTTTCCAGTGGAAATTAAATTTTAAAAATGTACCATTCCCATTAAAATTTAATATCTGTCAAAAACAATTGCCATATGATTTTTTTTTTTTTTTCGTTCAGCCATAGTATCCAGCGCCACGTCACTCCCTAAATCTCCCATCACGTCCTGTCACATCGCTGCTGTCTGCTACCTGAATAAATTGCTCCAAAAATACTTCACAAAGACCGGGTGTATTTTCAGAGAGGACTGTCTGACACCCTTTCCAGGCGTCACATTCACAGGAGGACAGGATGAAGAGGAAGAAAACGGCTCCTTCTAAATGAATTATCTTCTAGTAAAGCAAAGATGAGATTTTGCAGATTGTAACTTTCAGCGACCTGAATAAACTCTGGACACGGACCGACGAGGAGAGCAGGTCGGATTCTGTCGCACCCGGTCATTCAAACGCTGTCGGCACCATATTACAAGTTCAGCTGCTTCACCCGCTGTAGAGACGAGATTATTATAGTAATAAAAGACGAGGTCTGCTTTACCTGCTAGTTAGACACACACACACACAGCTCCAGATATAATAACTATCTGGCGGCCCATGTGACCGTATCAAAAGGTAATCCCTCGTTTGACAGGAGAGGTGAGTTTTACCTTCTGTCTGGGCTGGTTGGGGGAAGACACCACCACCGTGTTGCAGATGGTGAGAGCGATGAAGAAATCGATGATGTCGGAGAGGTCAGAGGGCAGCTGGGACATGGGCTGGCTGTGGAAGCGCATGAAGTCCATCTGACTGCTGCATTCATTGACCTTGTCCAGGAGCTGAGGGTCGGGGGTGATATCTTTCTCCTGCGGGACAGAGGTGGGGAGAGAGGGAGGGTGGGGGTGGTTATCAGTTGAGAGCAGGCAGCACAGGGGACAAGGACGGCGAGACGGTGACGTGGACTGACCATGGGGCTGCTGAAGGCCGTGTGCTTGGACAGGATGCTGGCACGCTTGGCCTCCGCCCTGCTTCCCGTCCTGCGGTGGGACTTGGTGCTCTGGGAGCGCAGCACCACCGGGGCGCTCTGGTGGCTGGACACGCTGTCCCGCCTGGGCAGGGTGCCACCGTGAGATGTACACTCCTCTTCCTCTGAATCCATCTCCTGGTACATAGCAAGTCTTCTAGCTGAATAACACACACACACACACACACACACACACACACACACATCGTGGAGAACGACTGTAAGAGGCGACGAGGACTGCTTCCTGTTTTTGTAATGGAGAGTGTGAAAGAGTGTGTGTGTGTGTGTGTGTGTGTGTTCGCTGGCTTGTGTCACCATTGGCATCGTGGGAGTACTCCACCCCTGCCACAGTGCAGCGGCGAAACACCATCTTGTTCTCCGTCAGCGTGCCCGTCTTGTCAGAGAAGATGTATTGCATCTGGCCGAGATCCTCAGTGATATTAAGAGCTCTGCACTGCAGGTGAGTGTCTGTCTCCTCGTCGTACAGATCCAGGTCCTGATGGATGAAGTACACTTGGCAGATCTTGACAATCTCAATCGCCACAAAGAGGGAGATGGGTATCAGCACCTAGGAGATGAGAGAGGCGGTCAGTGTTTCCCAGCACATTTTACGACACATTACAGTAAATACATATATTTTATAGTGTTGTGTTCTTGCAGGTTGCTTTGATTGTTGGTGTGATCCCCGAGTGGGACATTTCCAGGCAGCACTTCTGGAGAAATGAGTCATGGCTTTTGGGAGGGCGTCTCTGCCAGCGCCTGGATGCCAACACGAGTCATGTGTTTATTTAAGTGTATCACACAGTGACACTGGTAGGTCTCCAACCTCAAACAGTTGGTGTTTGCACGGCGTAACCAAACTGCTATCTTCACTTGACCTCTCACTTATTTGGAAACCTATCTGCAGCATCCGACACGGGACAGCGTGACACTTTGAATGACATTTTTTTGCATGAAAGGAAAACAAACAAACAAAAATAAAATCAATAACTGTCAGGTGGAACTTTTTCCTATTTTGCTCCTGCATCACAAAGATTATTTGTCAGCGTGAAACACGTGCTTCCTCGCTGCTTTTCCAGACTAAATGTGAAGACAAAGATCTAGAGGTCACGCACGTCTTAGGGCGCTGAAATAGCAAATGCCAATACTTTGATTTATAGCAATGCTTGTGTACAGAGGCTTTAAACATTTCAAACTTGGCTGATGTTGTACGTCTTGTTTATATCTTTATCTGTGCCTTTGTTTCTCTGTCTCCTACCTGAAAGACGATGATCATGGTGAGGAAGAGATAAATGGCCGACATGATGGGGGATAAGTCCGTCCCCTCTGGACTGAGAACGTCAAACACAGGCCTCTTATCTCTGTACTGAAACATCCACAGCCCATGACCTGGAACAAGCAGCACTACAAGGTCAACTCATACAAACACTGGAATGAGAAGATATAAATAAAAGCACAGAAAACTTCATCCAATACAAGATGTTCTTTTCCAAATAAACGACGGTTTTAATTTGACATTTCTAAACAGGACCAGGTGTTAACAGAACTCTTAAACAGCTACACACCCACAGCAGCAAACAGGCACATGACCAGCAGGATGATGACACACCAGAACACGTCTACATTCATCTGTCTCTCCAGTTTACTGCGCTTGTAGCGCGGGCCGTTGTTGTTCAGCATGGCTTTGGTCTCGTGACCTGCGGAGACACGCGGCGTGTTAGCAGCAGCCGGTCAGAGGTCAAATACGGAGCGTGACAGCTGACGGCGTCATTATTTTTGGGGGCTAACCTGCGTAAATGACTATTCCCACAGCCTCCTCCGTGTTGCGGATGGTGCAGCCTCGCAGCAGCAGGTTCTCTTTGTAAAGTGCATCTCTTCTGCCGCTTCGATGGATTCTGTCAGGGCAGAGAAACGACTGTAAGTACTGGTCCAAAGTTGTATCAAACAAAAGGTTAAATGACCATGGTAATGTCTTTAAACACACGCGTGAAAAATACTGCTTAAGGAGAAATAGAGTATCTCTCTCTATACCAGAGCCCCGAAGACAACATCAGTTTATCCTGCTGAGCACCTCGATCGATCACGCTCCGAAGCATCATGGTCTTCCCTCAGCAAGAGCCCTTATCTCAGCACAAAATCCCTCTGATACAGAAGCACTGACCGTGCTGCCGCTCCACAGAAACCCCTCGGGCTTAGACTCAATCAGGCAATTCACTGCTTCATCGCTGACCCTCAGATCTCACTCCAGACTCTTTAGTTTAAAGCTCGTCAGGCTCGTCGAGAACCTCGGTGTCATAGAAATACTGAATCCAGCTGTCAGCCGGCCCACCAAAGCAGTTCACACCCCTGTTAGAAGAAGCTTTTTAACTAAAAGTAAGATGTATGTTGAGCTGTATTAAACGAGGGGCAAATGTGCTTGTTGTAAGGGAGAGCAGAGCTTTTGTTGTCAGCCTTAATCCCATTACTAAATCAAGGATTACAACCGTCTTAGTTAAACAACCTTCTTGCTGGGAGCAGCGTTTAATCGTCTCTGTTGTAGCTTCTTTGAAAGTCACGCAACTGTCAGCATGTTTACTAACAGGAATGTTCATCCTTTGGCCTCTGACAGCGCGCCGCCTGACACGTCACCACCCTTATGGATTGATAGCAATGTCCCTGAGCTCTGAGCGCACACACACACACACACACACACACACACACACACACGTCCTAGTTCATAGCTCACACACTGTTTGAGAATTGATAACACTTTGAGACGCAGAGTGCTTTCTCTCCCAGAAAGGTAGTGAGATTAGACTCCGTGCCACTGGCCGTAATGTAATAAAACACTGCTGAGACAAGCCTCCCCCCCCCCCAGCTCTTCCGCTGCCGTGCCCCGTGCTCCGCTGTAGCCTGGCAACTGAATACCTGCAGCATCTGGTCTCCTTCTGAGCAAAAGCATACATGTCATAATCATGTGAGCCCGCCGGTTTACTGTCAACCCGGAGGATGTTTCTCATCTTCTCTGCCTCCAACGCGTCTCAGGCCGGACACACAGCGGACAACACGCACCGGGCTTGGATTCAGGTCAAGAAAAATAACGCAAATAAAGCTCCATCTCTCCATTCTCGTCCTGCAACTCTTCAGTTCACTGATTAAGACTTGATATCTTGTTTGTTTAGTCCGTACAGGAACCGAAGAGTAGAGAGGACACACTGGGGTTTTTATTGGGGGTTATATGCTCAACTTTCTTGCCTGGACCAAACCAACTTCCTGGAGTCTAATTGTGACAGTGAGGTTTCCAGGCAACCAGTGGAGACTTTGAATACTCGATATTAAATTTTTATTATTATTATTTTTTTTTAATGTAAAACAATAAACAACGAAGTGAAAATGTGGAAAGTAACGAATGCACAAATTACATTAAAGACCAACACACTGCACACATGAAAATCTATCTGCCATAGACCTGACAGTGCTGACTGATGACTTTTTTTTTGTACTGATTGAGCTAAAAAAGACCCTGGATACTGCATTTCCCATAATGCAACTTCCTTCGAAACCTCCATCAGGCGCATCAGTACTGCTCAGCACGCCGTCAGCCGTCCGACCTCAAGCACATATCGCCTTCCTCCTTTCAACAATCACGTACAAACATCCTAAACATCCTAAACATCTTGCAACTTTGAGCATTTTCTACTGCAAACACAGACAAAAAGGAAGTTAGGTGTAACACAGGAAACCGGCTGAGTGATAGGAATATCGTTGCAGCTACAGCTTCGGTCATCAGCCGATGGTTCACGGCTCTCTGGTTATAAAAGAAGCACATACGTCTTCACAACGTGCGCGGTCAAATGGATAAAAACCCTGCGACCGCATCCCCAGAAGGCAAATTCTAATCTTGACTTGGAAAAACTGTTTAAGTCATAATTATAAGTGGGAAACTCCTGGCTTGTCAACAAAACCGCACTTTCGCATGATTTCCATTTCAAAGCTCAGCGTTACTCAGAATGACACTGCATTCGTTTACAGTGAAATGAAAATGAAACACAAATCAGAGAGCCGAGCATCTTTTGGTTGAGGTGACAGTTTACGGAGCTGCCGGGCCGCCACGTGGTGGGCGGCGCGGCGACCACACACAGACCAAACAGGGACACACTCACATGTAGCCTCGGAATCTGTTCAGGTCGTTGTTGGGCTTTTCACATTCAATTACGCTGTTGTACTTCAAGGGGTCGAACTCACAATCCTGCAGACAGAAAACAAACAGCTGAATTCTCGTTTCTGAGTCAAGACGTGAATGAAAAACTAAAAAAAACTGATGGTTCCCTGTTGAACATACACAGGTGTTAGTCACATTTAATCACCTTATCAATAATCCAAACGTACACACCTCTTATTAGCATTCTCAACTTTCATTAACACATGATGTATTGCAGCAGATAAACTGATGTAGTCTGGCTGAGTATATCTGTCAAATAAATGGCAACAATGCTGAAAAGATTTACCGTGTGTGTGTGTGTGTGTGTTGTTACGTAGATGACCTGAGGTGCTTGTTTTTCTCGGGGCACTTACAGAATGAAAAGCTCAGAGGCGTCTTTAAAAAAAAGCTATTTAACATAGTTATTGAAATATTTTCCCTTAAATTTTTGCCAAAAACCTTTTGTGACTTCATGTTTTTCCCAGATGCAATTTTCAAATTCCTCGACCTTTCCAGGTTTTTCCATGACTGATCATCAAACCTGCGATGATTATTGTTCTGTTGGTCAACTTACTGATTAACCATCAACTTATTTCACTGCTCGCTCATAATGAATTACTGCAAGTGGAAAAACAAACATGGAGTTCTGGTAAAGAGCAACAACAGGTACCGACACAACTTCAAAATTTGAATTTCAAAATAAACTAATAAAACTCAAACTGATCTTTTAGCACCTTCCAGTGGATAAATTCTCGTTTCTGATTGGCTGAAGGCTGCGAGCTAAAACTATATCATAACTTTTTCTAAATTCATAACCTGCCCAGAAAAACTTTCCAACAAACCAAAATAAACCAACCAGCAGCAAACACATGAAACCTTCAAAGTTTCAAGAACAGTGAACCTTTGCTTCCAACAAGGCGTCTAACACAGACCCAGTGTGTGTGTGTGTGTGTGTGTGTGTGTGTGTGTGTGTGCGTGACACACCGGGTACAACAACACGGAAACAAGAAGTGCTGAGCATCGGTCTCACCAGGTCAAAGAAGCTGCGGACGACCTGCCTCTGCTTGAGGTTGGTCTCTCCGTCCAGTGTGGCGGTCTCGATGTGGCACAGGCGGTCCGGGTCACTGGAGCTCAGCAGCAGGACGTCGGCGGGGAGAATCTCGTTGCATCGCAGCCTGATGAAGTCTCCCACTCGCACCTCCTTCCAGTACTTCTCCACATAGCGTCTCTCCGCTCTGCCCAGAACAATGAGAGGGCAAACGGTTGGATGAAATATGCGGAGCTATTGTTTTCTATAATTGGTGGTTCTATAAACAGAGACTTCAGCTCCACTTCCATAAATCTGAACCAGGGGAGGGGGGCGAATATGTCGCACATGACAGAGGACAGCCTGCGTGTTGATGCTAAAGCTGTTGCCACCAGCTCCCAAATTCCTCTTAGCCTCTCAACCTCTTCCTCCATATGTCCATCAAAACACACAAGATGTAGCTTAGCATGAACACGACACTGCATCCTCAGAGGACTATGAACATTTAAACAAACGCGATTCCCCAACCGAAGAGGAAGCGTCCCGCCCCTTACGACACAACGTTGTCTTTCTCACAAGGAAAAAAACAAAAACAAACTAAGTCTGATTTTTAGTCCGACTGATTCTTCTTACCACTAATGAGTTTGTTGTTGTGTGAGTACGTTGTTATTGTGCATGATGTTTCCCGTGATGTGCAAAAACCCTCATGGATGGATAGTGACTCTGTGAAACTGTGCTAATGTTCAGCCAGGGTTCACTTCTGACCATTGTGACATTCCTGGTAGCAAATATGCTAAATAATGCATAACTCCAAGCTATAAACAACAGCACAGAAATGCAAGGAAAAACACTCACTTAATGACTCACATCCGAGTATATAAAAACACTGTGTTCCTTTCACTTGTCGCTGCAGCACACATGGTGGCAGCGTGAAAGTCTGACGTCTTTTGCGCACAAACAGACGGTGAAAGGAACAATGCAGAACAAATAGAGAACATTAGATATTAAAAACTGATTTACAGAACTGTTGGTAACATGTTCTATTTTTTCACTGCCTGAAAATAGATCAATAATCTGAGAGCAAATAATAGCTGGAGCACAGACGTGTTAAATAAGCGACGCAGGTTTGTAAATAAATGAATTCATGCTGGAACAAACTTATCTGGGATGTTGGTTTGCAAGCAGTGTAGAGCTACAAAGATTAATTTATCGGCTGAGAATATATCGGTAATTATCTTTATAAGTCATTAGTCGTTGAAGTTATTTAAAGCGCCAAACATTCTCCAGTTCCAGCTGCTCCAATGTGATGATTTCTTGCTTTTCTTTGTCATAATTGACAGGAAACTGAATGTCGATGATGAGTTTTGGACAAGTGGTCGAATGAATAACCTGTGGACCTGTGGCCGTGGACGACTGTCACAGACATTTTCACTGTTTTATGACATTTCAAGTTTTTCTTTAGACGAATCTTCAGGCAACTATTATGATTTTTATGCTTCCAGCTTCTCTAATGTGAGGATTTGCTAATTTCTCTTGTCTAACTTTATTGTGAACACTCTATTTACTTTTTTTTTTTTTTTTTTTACTATTTATTTACTTCTCTTACTTTTTCAGTTTTTAAATGTAGAACATAATCAGCAAATTGAAAATTAAAGGTCCCATATTTTACACTTTTCTGGTGTTTTATTTGAAGTGTTGATCCATCAGAAGATATAAAAACCACCTCAGTGTAGTTTTACATCTCCTCTCTCAGGCTTCTCTCTGCAGCTCTAGTAACAACAGGTCGGTGAGCCAATCAGAAGAGAGGAGGCTCTGAGCCTCTCTTCTGATTGGCTGACTGTTTTCTGAGTGATCCAATAAAAATATAGCAGATTTCAGGTAAAAACACTCAGAGAAACCAAATCCTGTAAAGGTTTGGATGGTGGGTCCAGGTGGGCGGGGCTTGGTAACTGCTTTGTTGTGACATCACAAAGTTCCAGAAGTCCTGATTGGTTTTAAGGCTCAGTTTCTGAATACAGGCTGTGTGCATTTCTCTGTGGACTGAGGCTTTGATACTTTCACAGTATTAATATAGAAGCTAGACCTGATCTATAATCACACTACACATGGACACAGACCTTTAGACTGGAGGGAACTTCAAGAGAAGAGAGAACACGTTTTATATAATAGAGACAAAACCCGAAAATTAAAACTGTTAAAGAAACATATTAACGTCAGCATGTTGACTCCCATACGGATACACTCACTTTTTATATGCGTGAATGTAATGAGCACATGGTTTGTGTTATATTTGACTTCACACCTTATTAAATGTACACAAACCCACTGTAACTGTAACGCCAATAAAGTGGTGTTGATACCAAGAAAGGGTTTCTATGAATACTATGTCTGTTGGAAATACCCCTGAGCCATCTTCTTACTGCTGATCTTTGTTTAAAAAGGTCACAGCTATTGCTAACACTTTACTGTTTAAGTCCTGAATGGAGGAAATTCACAGCTATCCTGTTGTTATTATATCTTCTTTATTCTGTATAGATTTATGTTATAAAAGCAACTTTGTGTATTATTCTCTACAACAAACAGAAAGAGTAAAACAAGGACAGTCAGCCTGGTGAAAATTCATTATTTCTGCAGTCTGGTGGCAGTCAAAAGTCTGTCCTTCAGTGTTGATTAAATGTGAAATTTATCTTTTACTCTTCATGCATGACCACAGAATAACTGGCCCCCACTCGTCACTAATTAATTATCCAGCTATGAGAGAATATACCAGCTCAGATAGACAACAGCAAAACAAACTGCTGTGGTCGAACTGGGCGTTCAGTGACCTGGAGTCCAGACAGCTTCTGGACAGCATCAGCGGATGTTGTTACTCCTCTGTTAAAAAAAAAACAGATTAAGAGCAAACTATTTACATTCCAGGGAACTGCACTTATTAGTGTGTGGTTTCAGGGAGTATGTCTATGTCTTTGTAGTTACTCCAAGATGTACATTTTGGGAGGAAGCTCCTGTAGTAAACCACGGCCGTGTCCATTCTTCAGACTGTTAAATATTACCATTTTTGATAAAAGTGGAATTTCCTCCGCTTTGCCACACATGAAAAACGCCTGTGTGCAGATGAAATTTATCTAGGTGTGGGTTCACCTGCAGCTACAGGTTCTTCAGCTTAAACACAGTGTGAGCGACTTCGTATTCAACCTTGAGGAAAAAAATGACATGAGGCTGCCGTGAAGGTTTAGTCAAGTCAGCTGTTGTCAGGTTGAGAAGGGAGATGTTTTTGTTTGTTTTTTTTGCACAATATTGCCACAGCAGAAGAAAATTAAATTATGTCCAACCTTGATAGAACAACTCGGGTCAAGACTTAGCTAAAACTGTGGAGCTGCTAAACACTGAGCCTTTTGATTACCTTGAATTATGCTCTGTACATGGACGACAGTGCCGCTTTTCATTAGCAAAATACACTGCACACACGGACTCAGAGGAGGGGACAGTAGTAGAGGAAGCTCAGGGGAGAAACAGGTTGTCAGGTTGCATGTTGACTCAACATCCGTATTATCAGAAAAACACTTTCTCTGACAGACGGGCGTGAAGTGTTTGGGAGGTGTGTGTGTGTGTGTGTGTGTGTGTGTGTGCCTCTTGTGTTAGCCAGGTTTAGCCCTGATGCCATCTGACTGACAGCTGGGTTCATGCATGAAGGCCAGTTTGCACGGTCTGGACAGGAAAGTAAAGAAAATGTATTTTGTTTTGTTTGTTTTTTTTTTTCCTCCCCCAGTCAGGAACAATCTGCCCTCATTAGCTTAGACAGTTTGTACTGTGCTGCTGGAAAAGTGAAAACACACACACACACACACACACACACACACACAAGGTTAGAGCAACAGCTGGACACCGCTGGCTTTTTTTTTTTTTTGGCTTTTGAGGCCCAACTTACCTGCTGTAGACCAGACAGTCCATGTGATTGATTTCTTTATCCGACCTGTGCCTCCTGTAGTCCTCCCATAGGTCTTTGATGGCAGTGACAGACAGAATAAAAACTACAGGGGCCAGAGCCAGTTCCGGTTGAAAAGCATTGACAACTGGGACAAAATTCAGCAAAGCGATGAAAACAAAGTAAACATTGGCAAACCTATGAAACTGCTCAAAAAGATTCTTTGGCAGGAAAGACAGCAGAGTGTACTTGGTCGTCTTAATCTTGTTGTTTGCATAGTGTCGGTTTGGGTTTTCCTCCCCTTTGGCGTAGTCATACAGTATGTTTGCGTGGACAATCCTGGTTTTGTTCTCCTTGGTCTTCTTCTTTCTCTGCCTTTTGACTTTTGAAGCTTTGGCCATCCCGGCGTCTTCGCCCTCCCGCGCCATAGCCAGTCTTCTCTTGCCTTAAAACTTCCCCTCAGTTGTTTAGGTTTTCGTGTTTCTCTCATACAAAAAAAAAAAAAAGAAAAAGAAAAAAAAAAAGAAAAAGAGAAGCGAACAAAGTGCTAGCTATGTTATCATTCTTTTTACCGTGTGGAGTTTGTTTTCGTCAGTCCTTTTTACGTTCAGTCACACAAACTGCTCGTTTTCATCCATGTCGACTCCTCTTTTTCGCGAGTCGGAGGAAAACTTTTGCTTGTTTGGCTTCTCCTTTTTTTTTTTTCCTTTTTTTTTCTCCCCCTACTTGCTGCTGGGAAGGATGCTGAGATAGTAAGAGAGGCATAACTTGGACTTCCCTCCCCTCAGCTCGGCGCCGGATTTATACATCATGTGGATGGGGCCACTGCCGGTGGTCGCGCGCTGCCGTTGTGTTTGCGGAGCAGCGAACGCGCGCAGCCTGAGCGCGGAGAGGATGTTCGTCAGCGGGTCGGAGGTCTCACTCCTCTGGAAATCCGACCCGCAGGCTCCTCCTCGATCCAACCTTTTTTTTTTTTTTTTTTTTTTGTGTGTCTCCAAGTGCCACGCGGTATTATTGGAGTTTATGCTGGCCCACAGGAAGAAGCCAAATATCCACAGTTTAAAGGCGGTAATCTATAATTCTACACGTGTAAAACAAATTGGTGAAAATATAAATTTAAAAGGGAAGTTACTTTTTTCTTTTTTCTTTCTTTTTTTTTTTTTAAGCACTGCCTGTCTGTGATGTTGAATCTAATGCAGACTACAAATAAATAAATAAATAAATAATAGTAATAATAATGTTTATTATTATTATTATAAGTTCAGCAGCCAAATAACACATTGCAATCACAAAACGAACAACACAAGGAACCTCAAAGAGGCATAAATAAATAAATAATAAAAACATTACTGGAAAGTTAAAAAAAAGCTAGGACTATAAACTCTATAAAATATAAATCTACATGTATACAAAAAAGTCTATGGTTATATTTAAACATGGTTAGAATGTATATTATTAAAACGTATTTTGTGCAAATTGTGCAGTTTTTATATTGAATTATATAAATTAATGTATTTATTTTTTTTACCTTTGATGAATTTTATGTTGAGATAGGATATCAACTTAATTGTGTGCTATTCAAGCAGAAAACTAATCAGACTTTACATGGTGGTAAAGTTTGCTTGTTTGTAGTTGTTATTTTATTTGTTTAGTTTTTGTTGTTGTTTTGTTTTACTGCAGTTTCTCCAGACCTTGAAATCAATGACACCGCATACGTTTGCCATGATGTTTTAAAAGTATTTTCTATCACTATACTTAACATTTTATGGCAATGTTACGTCACTAAACTGACAAAGCATCAGCAGCTACAGACAGGTGACAAATTAAGGGGAAAACCAACATAAAGTGTCTTAGTAAGATGTCGGGCCGCCACGTGCTTCACTGCTTCTTGACTCTACAAGTCTCTGAACTCTGCTGGAGGATGAACACTATTCTTCCAAAAGTTATTCCCTCATTTGGTATTTTGATGATTGTGGTAAAGAGCCAGGGCTGAAAATGAAGCCGTAAAAACTGCAGTTCCTCTAATGACCACATGAGGCTACTTCCAAAAGTGGTTCAGGCCCCATAGACTCCCATGTTAAGATGTCCAACTTTAGAGCAGAAATAAACATATTTACAGCCTGACACAAAAAAACGGTTTCGGTCTCTAGAGCTAATTTGAGATTTTATTCTTAAAGTTATGTGTAATTGAGGGCGTGGTCTCTTTGATAGGCGGGTGCCGCTACCTGTGTCCAGCCGCTACCTGTGTGCTCTGAATGTGACCTCTCGGCTGTGTTTGTGGTGTTGGTGTGTTTTTTAAGGTGAGTGAAATTCCAGTGTTGTTTCATTTATAAGTAAGCACTAATCAACAGGTATCAGTGTCTGTGTTAGACCTTAGCTGGCTTGTTAGCTTAGCTTATTAACTGGCTAATTATCCAGCAAATGAATTAGCCTTTGGTTAGCCAACGAACAAGATGCTCAGATGCCCAGCTGTGCTAACGATGCTAACGGGAGCAGTTATTGTACCAACATGCACAGAAGCCTCTGCTGCACACACACCCCTCCGCTTTGCTGCATTTTTGGATTAGCTGGGAAGCAGGCGGAGTCAGGCACTGCCAAGATGGCGACAGTGGAGCAGCTCACTGCGAGCGCTCTTCAGAAACAAATTCGGTGACACACAGTCTATATGGAGAGCGCAGTAAAACATGTTGGTCTGAAATCTCCCAAAAGTGTTTAAGAAATTAGACTACTGTCATATAAGTTTACCCCCCAAGAAAGATTTTACTGTTACATGTGACATTTTTCTAGGGATCATCAAGCAATGTAAATATTTTTGAATAAAACTTGACAGATATTATGTTGTGCCTTTTAAGATCATACCACCAGGAGTCAGAAAATCCCACATGTGGGACTTTAAAGTTTGTTTTAGGAACTTAAAAGGCAACAGCAAAACACGGTGTACGGTGCTATAATGTGGGAAGATATTCCTAAAGGAAATGCGGACTTGTAAGCCCTGTAATACACTGAACAAACATGAGACTGAAAGCTCTGAAATATTAGTACCTCCAGAGACTGGCTGTTCACTTGGCCAGCAGGTTTCCCACAGGAGATAAATCAAAGGCCTCTCTCAGGGCAGTCTGCAGCAATTTGCTATGGGAGCATCCAGCTGTTGGGCAAAAAAAAAAAACTAATGGCTGATTCTACATTCTGGCATCTTGGCATGGAGAACAATTCAATTTCCAAATGATGAATGACCAGAGTGAGGTGGACCTGAGACAACAGGCCCACTCTGGCCTCAAAAAGTCAGATATTGCACTGAAGAAACAATTACAGCAAAACTAAATCAGGTTGTGCTGCTCAACTGAAAATAAAATCATCCCACGCTTCTGTTCCTTCTTAGAAAATAAGGTTTTAGTTTTTCAGAGGGTAAAACATGACAAAATCTCCACAACCTGCGAGCTGTCATTGGCTGGTGTTTGGAAAGCGGCCGTGACAGAAGAAGTGCTAAAACATATTTATATCTTTTAGCAAAACATATTTATATGTTTTAGCGCTGCTTTCTCCCACAGATGATATCTTTGAGCATTTTATTTTTACCAGCCGCGACAGTGTGGCTGACATTGTCTTCACCTTGTGAGTCTCACTGTGTGTGTGTGTGTGTGTGTGTGTGTGTGTGTGTGTGTGTGTGTGTGAGTCCTGCAGACACCTGCTGTAGCAGGAACTACCACCACCACAGAGGTGGTTTGGTTTGTTTAGTTGAGATCAAAATAAAGGCTGAGAACGACCCTGAGTACCGAGTACCCACGTGATAATGTAGTAACAATGTAGTAATAATGTAGTAATAATGTAGTAATATTGCAGTACTGTGTGGTGGAACGTCGACATGTTGACGGGTGTGATTGGTCTCTTGTTTCCTCTCTTTGTATGCGTATGTCGTTGGATTCCTTTGTTGGTCATTTTGTCACTGTTGAGTTCATATTCACATTTTCTTTGCTATTCTCTCTGGAATGGAGTCGACCTTGGATCAAAACGCTCTAAAATATTGAATAATTAACTTGGCTGATTGGGAATATGGAGGCAAAACATTCAACAAATTGTAGGTGATTGTTGGGACCCACAACTCGTTCAGTGTCTCCATAGCAACATGAGATGACACGATGAAATGCTGAACACCAGTTCACTTTGATTTCATCCCAGTGTCCTTCAATGTAACATCAAACTGACATCACAGGACCCCCCCCCCCAGAGTGAACTGACATGCTGCCCTTACACAGGAACTCGTAGGACAACCCGTCTTTCAATTATCAACTTACACATCTTACGTGTTTTAAAAGCACGATCCAGTATTTTAAATCACACGTTTACATTTTTACAATTTTTAGGCTCAAAAGATAATAAATAGGTAAATAAATAAATAGATTAATTAATTAATTAATGTTTCGGCCAATTCATCTGTTGAAGTCACCTTCAGCACTTTGGGCATTTTTCAGTGTTTTCTAATGTTTCTGATTAATAGAAAAAAGAAATCTGCAGATTAATCAATGATGAAAATAATCTTTAGTTGCAGCCTCACAAATGTTTCACAGTTCACAGACGTTTGAATGTTGACAAGGAGCCACAACCAGACACTGTGTTTCTTTATTTTATTTATGAGGACTCAGCAGCCGAAGAGCTTGTGAATCTTTAACAATGTATTTTCAACACGTGTAAAGAACAGAGGAAAAAGTAGAAAAGATTGTGGAGTAAACACACAGTAGCATGAAAGGAAAATGCTCAAGTACAGTATGACACAAATTACACTTACACACTGTAGTCGAGTAAATTCACTTCACTTGTCCCCCTTTCAAATTATAGGTCAAATAACCGATGAACAAACCTCCCAATCAAAAACACTCACAACGAGACTGAAAAAGGAAAAATGATGCAACTGTGTAAGAGAAGTGTGTGAGACCCACCGAGCAGAGACACAGCTGCAGTTCATCCTGTCACAGACAGGAAGCAACCTGCCAGAAGAGGGCATGATACTCCAATCAGTGCAGGGCTTCACTACTCCCAGTGCAATGTGCAAACTACAGTGTGTGTGTGTGTGTGTGTGTGTGTGTGTGTGTGGGTGCAGAGAAGGGAATGTTATAAATGGGCATGTTGTAGGTGTTATATGACAAATGTGACGTCTTCCATCAGTTTCTCTTTAATTGTGAGTTTCACATCAAACCTCATCAGACGCCGTGAGAAGAAGCCGATGTGACAACCGACCGTAACCGTCAACCTGAACTAATCGTTGACTGTGAATTAAGTCAGCTTTTTCTTCTGACCTTGACAGATGAATCATGTGACAGGAAGGTCTGTGAAATGTCTATATTGAAAACAGCAAACTTCTGTTGCCTAGAGACAGTGAGATGTTTGTTTGGCGCCTTCTGAAGTGTGTCTGTAGGTGTTGAGAAAACCACCA